ACCCGTTGATCCCACAACATCATCATCAACCTTGAAATTATAACAAACATTGCTTGCTTGCTGATTTTTCACTCTTTCAGCATTTTAATTGTGAGGGTTCTCTTGGACTTGTCTAGGCACTCCCACTACTCCCAAAGGTTGCACTCTAGAAACATCTCTATGACCCTCTCCAATCGGATCATCATGTAGTTCCAGAATTTGGCCTCTTCCGACCATTCTTCATGGAGTTCTTCTTAATTCAGGATCATTGGGGGTCATGGGATTTCCTTTACTCCGTGTACTTAACATACACTAGAAATAAGACCTGTAGAAAACAAAAACAAAAAACAAACATAAATCAGGAAATAATTAACTAATGTTCAATAATGAAATTAGTCTAATATAAAAGCCTTATTCCCTGGCAGCGGCGTCACAATTTGATATGCCCGAATTACACCTCCCTAAAGAAGTATAAGCGGTTGTTGTCAAACAAAGAACCTTATTGAGATTAAGATCGACCGCACAAGGAATATGGTCTAGACTTAGGCTAATTTAGTGTTGATTGTATGTTTAGTCAGCTTATTTCCATAAAATAGTGGGGACGTGTAACACAAAGTAATAATTGATTGAATTGTAGTAACAGGTAAGAAGAAGTAACAGGATTCGCAGTTTGTAATATTAATATGAGATGAAACTAGGGCACATGTGTTCCCCACAAGTTCTCAATGCAGTAATCCTAATAAAAATAACTATTTCCTAGTGTTTAACATGTAAAGTCGGTAAGTTAGGTATCTCCTAAGTGATTGGTTGCCCAAGTAGGGAATTTCACCACGCCACTTGGTCGGTCTACGGGTGTGTGCTTTACTAACCCTTACCCATGGCCCAACTTAGCCCTCACTGATTTGGGTTAGGCTATTAGATAGTCATTTTTCACGCTAAATCTCCATTGTTAACTGCTTTCTTATTCATTACTTCCTTGGTCGAGCAAGTAGGAATGAGGCGAGTTCTAACGTTGCGCATCATTAAAAAGCATTCAAAACAAAGAGATTAACAATACATGCATAAACACTATTCTAGAATTACATAGTTATTTATTTTACGTTGTTAATTTTTCATGATGACCACGACCCTAGTTGTGGATTTAGTTACTCATGCTTGTGTGATTACAATTCACAATAGGGTTTATAATATAAATCATAAACTTACAACTAGAATAGATAAAATTCGGAATCTTGAATTGAAGGTCAAAAACAAATTTCATAAACCAATACTTCAAGAAATAAATGCCAAAAGTGTTTGCATAATAATTCGCAAAGCCAAAAGTAAGTATCCTAAAAAGTCTAACAACCCAAAAAAGAAAAATACAACTAATATTTGTAGAAACCAAATCCTAAATCAAGTAAGAAAAGGAAGAATAAGGAAATTTAGCTCAAGTAGTGTCATCTACGATCGGTAACCTATGGCTCATAGTAGTTCGTAAGGCTCATAGGTTCGTCAGTATGCAGTTTGTCCATCATCTATGGAGTGCTTTCTACGGACATATTCTATGGCTTTTAGATCTTTGTACGACCCATCCTGTTCAACTGCCATTCATGGACTAAAGTTTATCTTCTCTGAACTTTTCTACAACTCATCATCTACGACTCGTAGAAGTTACTACAGCTCGTTAGTATGCATCCATTGTTTCACACTTAGCTCCAATTCTCAGCACTTCAACCTACAACTTACACCTACGACTCGTAGTGGAGATGAGGGCTCATAGGTCAAGTCCTACATCACCTAAAACCCTGCTATTGCAACACTATAACACCAACTACTCCAAAACCTATTTCCTTCAAAATCCAAGCAAAGCACCATCAAATCTAATAACAAAATGCCTAAGACTCAAGAAAATCTCTAAGTTTAATACATCAAAAGTAATGTAAATTCACAGTACATCAGTGGCTCACAAAGTGAGGAGGTTAGTTCACAAGTTGGGTTTGTATCGGGCTCTTAATCTGGTTCTTAGTGGTCTCACACCAAGGGATCATAGGAGCACATTTAATTTGTTTGGGGTGCAGCATAGACAAATCATTTTGAGGTTCGGGGCATGTTCCATATCATTAAGTAGTTGGCTGGTTGTAATGCAAAAGGAAAGCCCTGGTGGCCTATTATTTAGGAGCCGAGAGTTTTGACCTGTAGTCTGCACACTACTCAAGAAGATAGATGCACTGTTCAAATGACATATGTGTGAGTGGATGGCCGAGTTTCCAAGCTTGTATAGTGAAAATATAGTCCAGGAATTTTATGCTTTATATGCAGCCAGAGTTAAAAACTCAATATCGAAGAAGGGAAAAGAGCTAGCACAACCTATTTTTCTGAGCACCAGAGTTTGGGAAGTACCGATGGAAAGATCGAAGCAGGACCATTTGTTGATTTTGCATAGTCCAAGTTATCAGCAGACTGCATCAACAACAGAGTTTAACTATAAGTGTAAAACTTTAGAATTTAGAATTCTAGAAAATGGAGTCAAATGGGAGGTCACCATCCCATGACTGAGCCATGGAACCCTTCATAGAGGCCCAGACAGGCCGTGAAGGGCACCACGGCTCGTGCTGGTGGTCGAGGCTTCCTTCTAGTGTTTGTCCAAGAGAGGCTCTCCTCTCACGACCTCTTAGACGGCTTGTGGTGAGCCTCACGACTCGTACTGGTGGCCATGAAAGGGAGGTAGAACCCATCTCTAGGCTAGCCTCCTCCTACGATCCCCTATATGACTCGTGAAGAGCTAGACGGCCCATAACGGTGGGCGTGTGGAAGGGAAGGACTTGCCTAGGCACTAGTCTAGGGACCACAACTGCCCAGACGGCTCGTGGACCCCTAGACGACTCATGAAGACCTCCATCTAAGGGATTGCATCAGCTGTAAGCCATGGTCAGTTGGGTCTTTTCCTAATTATTTTATCTTGATACTACATCCTTTTTCCATTACCTAGAACACTATATAAATGATTTTAACCCCAAAATCAACGCATTCAATTCATTCTCTCAAATTTAGAAAAGAAGAAGAAGTATTCCTCTTAAAATATTTCTCTCTATAGAAAAACTAGAAGAAGATGGGTTCAACCTAGGGTTCCAAGTCAAGTCTCCAATTCCTCCATTGAAGTTAAGAAATTGGCATTGAGGTATGATAATTTTCATCCATGGAAGCCTTTCCTTCATGGAGTTCCCAACTTCTCTAATTTTCAAAGTTAGAATTCTCCAATTGAGTTAGGGTTTTTTTTCTATTTTATGGGTTTCAATAATTATTGATCTAACTGATTGAATTATGATCTCTTATGGATGAATTGAGTTAATCTCATATTTTTATGATGATTCCCCATATTTTCCAAGTTATGATTATATAATGTGGGTTTTTTATTATGAAAGAGAAGTTTATGATATCAAGCATGTTCTCATGAAATCTATGTATATGTTTTAAGGATGCTTTGAGATTGAAGTCTCAACAATGTTTCTATTGTTGTGTTGTTGAATGGATTTTTCATAAATACATGTAAGCATGAATTGTGAATGGTCTTTTCACATGATAAGGGTTCTTAGGGTTGAGAGGTTTTCTCACCTAAAATGAACCAATGTTAAGAAGCTATTCTAATGATGAGGCAAGAGACTATTACCCATGCTCTCTAATAGTAGGACAAAAGGCGATTACCCATGTCACATGATGTAAGGAAAAGAGGCGAGTACCCATGTTTCTTTAAGAACTACGATGAACATGAATAAGAACTATTCCGTGGAAGTTAAGCTTAGAACTGAGTGGACAAGTGGCGATTACCCATGTCCCATGAACAATGTGCCAACATAGGATTTTATAGATATATATTAGCTAGTGGATCCACTTAACTAGAAGTTAATGGTCCTTACTGTGGCAAGTAAGACAACTCATTTTGGTGTGGTAGACACCAGATTTTATGATGATAACTCTCATGGTCTTATATGTCGATTAAGGCTAATTCCCACAAGCAAGATATGCTGAAATAAGGTTACTTCAAAGAAGTATCTCATGCTTGTTTAAGATGATAACTATGTGCATTGACCTTGTTTTATGACTCGTGTTTTCTAACCCTTTTATCTCATGTTTTAGTTTTGTCATTGTATTTCATGAACGTATCTCTTTTAAATATGCTTCCAAATGTTTTATGCATGGCTATCATACTTGGTACATATTTTTTACTAATGCCTACTCTTGCTTACATTTCCCCAAATGAAGGATCCGACAATCAAGGTTCCCATTTTCGTGGCTAGAGTTCTGTTGTGAGATTCTAAGCTTTGGTGAATCCTCATTTTTCAAAGATCGGATCTTTATTGTTTTTTGTTCACTACAAGAAAATAGCAAAATTGTGACAGACGATTCTGTCACAAATCCGTCACAAATTATCATTTGTGACGGAATTGTGACGGAAAAATGGACGTCCCAGAACCTGGGGTCATAAACTCATTGTGACGGATTTCAATTCCGTCACAAAATTATTGTGACGGCATAGTGACAGACCTGACGGTGACAATATAAATCCTTGTATTTGACTTAAATTTCGTCACAAATTTGAGACAAAATTTTTGACCGAATATTCCATTACAAAATAGTGACGGAATAGTTTCTGTAACAAATTTCTAAATATATTCACAATATTTGTGACGGAATATTTCGTTACAAGTTAATTATGATGGAATATTTTGTCGCAAAAATTGCTCTCTTGTTGATATTAGTAACAAATTTTAGAATTAATTGTGACAGATTAAATCTGTCACAAATTTGATTTTAATTTAATAAATAATAATTGCTATATATAGTAGTGGACAATTATTATTATTATTATATATATATATAGTAAATTAGTCAAAAATATAAAAATAATTAACCGCCATGATATAACAAGCATAATACTAGATTTATAATACAAAATTAAGAAGTTAAAACATGTCAAAGCACAACTTCAATAAGCAAAAGTGGACAAATATTTAAACACATAAACATTTGGTCATTTCCTATTAAGGAGAAGGATTACTAGATGAGCGTGAGGATAACGCCATCTCGCTCATCATGCGAGACCATCGTTCCTCCATAGACTTGAATCGATCATCACTTTGTTGCCTCAAACGCGAGACCTCGTGCTCTACTCGTTGTTGCACCTCTGCCTCTAAACGTTCTTGAAGAATTCTCTCTTGATTTTCTCTCATATGCAACACTTCTCCCTCAAGTAGTTTAATGCGCTCTTCAGCAACGTCATCAGACACCGCATGTAAATTGCGCGAAGTGACAGAATTTTGATCTTGATACAACGCCAAACCTTGAGAGCCTAAACCATACACACGTCGTTTTTTTTCTCCACCCACAACATCAAAGTATAAGTGATTTATATCAAGTTCTTGAACTTCTTGTGAATCATCTGAGGAGCTAGAAATAGCAGCAGCTAAGACAACCTCCATTTTATCCTGAAAGTTTTCAAACAAACAACTACCAAAAACTCAAGCTTTCCATAAATATGTGCATATTAAGTTGCTTCTAGCAACTCTGAAAAAATATGTACCCAAAAGATAGCGCAAACTCTTTAAACAGAACAAAATCTGCCCCCAATAAGGCATAAAATCTATAAAATAAAAAAAAGGCACAAAATTTGCTTCAAATTGCATTAATAACTGTCCAAATAACTACTCAACATTTGATAAAAAAAAGTATGATAAAAATCTGCACAAAAAAACAGCACAAAATCTACCCCAAAAACAGCACAAAATCTATCAAAAAAGGCACAAAATCTACTTCAAAATTGCATTAAAAA